AAAAAAAGAAAGGAAAAAAGAGAGAAAGAGAGAGAGAGAGAGAGAGAGAGAGAGAGAGAGAGAGAGAGAGAGAAAGGAAGGAAGGAAGGAAGGAAGGAAGGAAGGAAGGAAGAAAGAAAAGAAAGAAGGAAGGAAAAAAAGAAAGAAAGAAAGAAAGAAAGAAAGAAAGAAAGAAAGAAAGAAAGAAAGAAAGAAAGAAAGAAAGAAAGAAAGAAAGAAAAAGAATTTAAATAGTCAAACACGGAAGGAGAGAACTGAATATGGCTACCAGGTGCTGGAGCGAGGGTGGACAGGGAGCACAGCTAATCAACAGATATAGGAACTAGGGATCTGACTCAGACAATAAACTGTTGGCTTTGTGAGCACAAGGATCTGAATTCAAATTCTAGGTACCCACATAAGACCTGGGCACCACAGTGCATGTCTGTAACACTAGTGGAGACAGGAGGATCCCGAGGACTCATTAACTAGCCAGTTTAGCTAATCTATGGGTTCTAGGTTCAGTGAGAGACTCTGTCTCAAAGAATAAGGTGGAGAGCAGCCTAGAAAGACACTTGATATGTACCTCTGGTCTCTGCACACTCACACATGTGCACCCGCGCACACACATGCACAGACCACCATCACTATCACCACCAAAACAAAGTTAAAAACTTTCAGATGCAGGACGAGTTAGTTTTGTGGAGCTGTTAAGCATGTATAGCTACAGACAGCATTATTGTCTCACATACTTACAAACCTGTTACAAGTGCATACCTCTTGTTAAATGATCTTACTACAATAAAATAAACTTGGAAAAAAATCACAAGGGACTAAAATTCTGATTCAACCTCATCGTGTGTGGACAGGGTTCATTGGCTGGTGGACTTCCCTGTGTTTTAAAACTGAAGGACTCCTCAGCTGCCTTTATTTTGTCTATTTTAGTTACAGTTCTTGCCTAGAGCACGTGTGTGGCCAAAGAGCTTCCTTCTAATCTATAATTCCTCATTTCATCTCTGTAACTAAAGCAGAGAAAGGATGGCCCTGGCCTCCTGCCTCCCGGATATGAAACTTGCTCCCTTTTAACCTGGATGTTTTGTTTGACCATCTGACAACCCTTGCTGAGAAGGATGTAAAGGAAGCTGAGCACACATTGAGACGGGTGCCTAATAAAATATCTAGCCAGGCACATTGGTAGCCAGCTACTCGGGGGGCTGGGGTGAGAGGATGGCTTGGGCAGCAATAGAAAGACAAGTTCAAACTACAAAACAATATTGATCAATGGGAAGTAACGAAGGAGTCAAGGTAATCGAGGAAGTCAGCCCAGGGGTGGCAGAGTTACTGGAGGCTAAGCCATGCAGTCAACCTTCAGACTCCCATGTGGCATGGCTTCTAATGTCAACCTTTAGACTCCTACATGCCTTTTTTTTCTGAAGCTGTGACTCTGATGAATGGGTGAATGTGACACCATGTCCTGTGAGGGCAGAGATTTCTGTTTGTTTACTTACACCCCATGTGCCTGCCACTAGTCGGCTTATGCATATTTGTAAGCTGAATGTTCAGAAAATGTTTTTCACCCTTGCCGAGGAGCTGTCTGCATTTATTCTGCCATTTTCTGTGCCATACAATAATTAATAGGTCTGTTATCTTGTTTGCTTTATTCCAAGTGCTTGTTGATACCTAAGTGGCCCAGGGCGCTTTTGGAGGAAGGACCACAGGAATGGGTGTGATGGGGCCCAGCCAATCCTCCTATTGTGCTTATTAGCTGCTTGAGAGAGAATTATCCAACTTAGCGGAGGGCATATTGCTCCATTCTCTTCCCTGATGTGTGCTCTGGGTCTGTGGGAGAACTGGAGGTCTGACGGTAAGAGGAGGAGGCTAGCTGAGACCCCAACCCCCATCTACAGATTACCAGGTAGGTGGCTAGCCACCTTGTGGAACAACGCACAGCTGCATTGAGTGGTACATACCACACAGTAAGACCAAGTCAGGTTGGTCTAGAGTCCCGAAACAGAATGTGTGGCAACTCAAGGAGACTTGGGTTGAGGGAACACTGCTGATTAGATTTGGTCAGTCATTATTGTTTTTACTCAATACTTACGAGGCCCACGTGTAGTCTTAGCCATCGCCTTATAGTTCAAAGCCTTTTGCATTATTTGAACACCTGCAGAAATTGAATTACTTAATAATAATAATAATAATACCTCATGAAGTACAAATTAGTAGCAATGCTCACTCATTTATTTGGTGAGTATTCACTAGGCACAAGCCATGTGTGACAGTAACTCATGTACACAGTATCCATGGGTGTTTGTAACATTAAAATACTTTTCTTTTTTATTAAAAATTTCATGACATTACATACTAACTGTTTGGGGAGGTCTAGGAGGCGTGGCTTGTTGGAAAAATATGTCACTGAAGGTGGCTTTGGTGGCACTGTTTGGGGAGGTTCAGAAGGTGTGGCTTGTTGGAGAAGTATGTCACTGAAGGTGGCTTTGGTGGCACTGTTTGGGGAGGTTCAGAAGGTGTGGCTTGTTGGAGAAGTATGTCACTGAAGGTGGCTTTGACAATTTCAAGGCTCTTGCCATTTCCAGTTTTCTCTTTGTTTCACACTTGTGCTTGAAGATGTGAGTGCTCAGCTTTCTCTCCTGCTGTCACACCTATTACTTGATGCCAGGATGACTCTTATCCCTCTGGGACCCTAAGCCCATATAAACCCTTCCTTTTAAAAGTTGCCTTGGTCATAGTGTTTTTTCTGAGCAATAGAAAAGTAATTAATACCCACAGTAATGACAAGCTTCAGAGATATACCCATCTGTTTCCACCAAACTTGACTGACATGAAAGATAAACAACCCTTTGTCCCTTGCCCTGCCGTCACTGAACTTGTGGATATATACACCAGGCATGAACAAGCACAGGCCCACTTTGCTGAGTCCAGGAAGAGTCTCAACCACATCTCTATGTGGTACCTTACCAGGACTCAGGTTCCTCAAGGGAGGCTGGGCTTCAGCTCTCTTCCCAGTCAGAACAACTTTGTTTTGAGTAAGTCTTGCATTCCACATCCCATAACTTTTATAAACGATTGCAAATGACCACTACCTCAGGAAAGAGTTGTGTGGAAGAATGTAGAGGTGAACGATTAGAATGCTTAAAACTGTGCAAATATTTCTGATTTTGCTTCACATTTCCCTATGTTCTTTTTTCCAAACACTCAAAAATCCTTGAAATACCAGTTCAGTTGAGGAAGAGTACAGGTAGAACATGTGTGCATGAACTGATATGCTTAAAACTATAAAGTAAATGCAACAAACTCTTCTATTGGCTAACAGCTTATGGTTAGTGAAATGGTTCATTTGAACAAAAACGAAAAGCACCTGTGTTCATTTTATTTTTCTATCAAGAATTTAATGGGGCAGAGACTAGATGGCTCAGTGGATAAGAGCCGCTACTCAAGTATGCAAAGTTCAGATTGCTATGTAGGATTACAGGACCTATGCAGGGCCAAATAAAGTAGCATGCATCTGTAATCCCAGGATGCATGGTTCAAGATGGTAGGCAGAGGAATCCTGGAAGCCTTACAGGCCTTACAGGTCAGCTGGCCTGATGTATATATGAAGTGGGGAACAAAAGATGTGCTTCAAACAAGGTGGAAAACCTAGGGTTGTCCTTTGACCTCTCATATGCACATCTGCACACACACACACACACACACACACACACACACACACACACCCCACACACTCACATGTGTACACACATACACATCACACACACATATAAGCACACACACACGACTACCACCAACTTCAACAGAGAATATAACAGGGCAGAGGAGAGTAAATTGTGGGTTGACGTTCATCCTAAGCAATTCCTAACGACTTTTAACTAATTGTCCTTCCCATACCTATTCCCCAGTTAGGCAGATAAAAAAGCGCCTGACGTGGAAACAACCTGTTTGCCTTCCCTGCCTCACCTGCTCGCGGGCCCTTCCCCTTTAGGACAGGCACTTAACTTACTAACATAATCACTAACATAAAACTGGACTTTGAACTGCCTCTTTCTCTCTTCAGGAAAGCAACTGTAAGTACATTTCAGAGGTCTTGTCTTCAGTGCCAGAAACCTTACATCCAACCAAAAATGATCAGTGCCTTTGAGAGCAGCCTGGTTCTCCTAGAGTTTAGGGACAGACTGAGGCCATCAGAACATATTCTGAGGCTTCCACAGGAAATACCACTTTTCTCTGGTAAGTAATACTAAGGCAGACTTAGGAAGAACTGGCGTGGTCTTAGTTCAAATGATCTCCCGATGGGGCATGGTGGCATATACCTGTAACCCCAGCACTTGGAAGTGGAGGCAGGACAATCAGCTTTGGCTGCCCAATGAATTGAGGCCAGCCTGGGCTCCATGGGACCCTGACCCAAAATACAAAACAAAAACAGACAGAAAAGTCAAATGACCAATTTCCACGGAAGGAGAACAAAAGAATTTGTTTGAATTTAGGAATTACAGTTGTGCTGACTCCTTTCCCATGGATCCTGGTCCTATATGAAACTGGAGGAAGACAGGCAGCCTTTGCATATTGTGAACTGATTCCTTCCACTTGACTGTTGGCCCATGAGTTATGGTGAGTCTCTCTATAGAAACCCCAGCATCCAAAAAGCCCTTCCTCTTTAACTGACCGGGCTGTCATCTTCATGCAGACAATTGAAAGCTGACTACCCCGAGCAGTGTTCTGTGAAAACCCGGAGACTTCTAACTGTACAAACTGAGCCTTGTTACTGAATTGGGACGATTCCCAAGGAGATTGAGAGCTCATTTAGACCAGCCTCTTCATCTT